CCAAATGAATTTTTGATACCATTCCAATTTGTTGTGATTTTAAAAAGGTAAAAATATCAGACCAGTAAAGAGAATTATTGTCCGAGTTAATGCCTTATACACAAGTCACTAACAAGGGAAAAGCTAAAAGAACTACATTACATATTTCTAATATCTTTAAAAAATTATTTGATTGTTTTTAGATTACTCACTCAACTGAGACAACGACAGCGTTGAGAGATTCAGCCATGATTCTGCAGAGATTGTTATAGAGGCTTGTTCCTGGAATGAAAGGACATAGCGTTAGGTACCTGAATCCATTTATGTCAACAGTCACAAAGCCAAACATAAGCCTTCTCAGAAAAACATAAAGGCATCATACAAATATAAGCAAAGTAAATGAGATCAGTTTGCAATAGATAAAGCGCCAAATAAATGTTGTAGCAGAAGGAACATAATTCATGCCTTAAAGTCCTGCAGTCTAATGCTTTCTTTCTCATCTGTTTCTTGGTGACTTGGGCCATGTAATTTCATCCACCTGTCACAGTTCTCTTGGGTAAAATGTAAGGTATCCAGTGGCTTGGGGGCATTAGCATCCAGAGAGAGTTCTGACTGTATGAGTCACTGCTGCTTGTTCATTTTATTATAGCATGCATTGCTTGGACTCAAATGAGTTGCCCTATTAACGTCAACTGAGCTACTCATTTAAGGGAGGATTAATCACAGCTCTCCTATTCATCAGTGGACTGATTTTCTTTAATTTTATTCCTTTCCAGTTACTTAATCGTTGGTTCCTGGTACTATAAAATATACTAATGTTTTCTAAAGTATCTAGTCTTAGGATTTAATATTTAGCTCTAATATTTGTGCCATCAACTTCTGCATCTTGGACTCGAGGACAGCATCTGACATAGCTGAGTTACAATCATCCAAACAAAGCACTGTAATTTAATATAAACTTTTTACTCAATAGGTCATATATGCAAAGTGCTACAGAACAAATGAGGCTAATGATGCTAACGAACATCCCTTAGGCAGTCCTAAGAAAACTCACCTCAAAGTACCTCTGTAGGAAGAGGAACAACTTTTTAAACTGCTATCAAACAAAGAGACTGGGATTTCCCAAAAGCATCTGAAGGCCAGATTTTAAAATTATTCAGGAACCTAAATCTCACTTAAATCACGGTTTAAACAACTTATACCTGCATAGTCCAACAGCAATCGATACCATCTTTGTTTTGGAACATTTCAGAAAACCTCATTGATGTTCTTTTTCTACAGATGAAGCCATAGAATGCCTCGGGGCTGTATGGATTTCATGATGTCATGGGAGTAACAGGGAAGGAAAAGGAGGGAAGACTCCTATGGGATCTGGTCTTGGAGCAGCCATGAGAACCACACGCCCTTTCTCCTCCCAAGGCTTTTCTCCTCCTGTACTATGTGGTAGGATTGGTGGTTAGATTATCATTGTCTACAGCTATATCTTACTTTCTCTGATCATGTTTATGGTTTCCAAGTTAATTGGAGTAAACAGCATTAATTTTCCAGGTAATTTCTGCTAGTGGTGGCAGTGGTCCCCTGAGGGAGGTGGCCAGACCATGGGATGGGAACCCACCTCATTCCACTGCCTGTTATCTGTCATGAGCAATGTGTATGCCAGGTATGTGCTATTTAAGAGCCAAACATTAGCACTATTGTTTAACACAGTGTTGTTCAGCTGCTAATTACTGCATGAAGATGGGGCAAAACCCCTTGGCATAGTCACTGGGTCCTGATCACCAAGGATCAACTTCTGCACATGACCATAGAAAACTGGGGCCCAAACAGCCCATCCAGGCATCCCAGGAATTTAAGCTATTTTGTCCTCTCAGGATGTAACAAAATTAACCTTTTGGTCCTTTTACAGCTGACGTGCAGGTAAGATATGCATTTTTACTGTGCGTTCACACCATTTTCCCCCTTCCCTCCTTAAAGCTGATCCACCGGAGTGGAGACAGTTACCACTGAATTCAGGTCTGTCTTAGCAAAATTGTCATCCCTGGCAGGAAAAACAGCTTTTAGCTTCTCCTGCTAGGAAAAAAAAAAACAAAAAACAACAGAGCAGAATCCTATTTAATTACTGGCAGACACATACTTGCACTTGCCAAGGCCCAGCCCCCTCCGTGGATGTAAACAACGCTGCGCTTGAGCCTTTCATCTCCCTTGGCAGGAGGTTCAAACACCCTGACTTCCACCCCGTCAAAAACAGCATCCGTGATGTTAATGTCTTCGGAGGAGACAGACTTCAGCTTGTCAAAGGTACATATCAAGTAATTCAGAACTATCAAGTGGTGGCTGAGTCTCAGATAGTGAATCAGGTGACACTAGGAAAAAAGAAAAAAAAGAAAAAAAAGATTTCTGTTACTTCAGAGCGTATCATAGGTACTGCATTGATGTTTAATGCAACTGTCTTCAAAGGGCAGGTCCTGTATGAAAACGAGTACGGATTCTTAGAATATTCACTGGAAAATGAATGATTATCAAAGGCCTCTAATGCTTTTAAAGCTGTATTAAAACAAAACGCTGTCCATAAAAGATTCTCTGTTGTCAAAATAAATCAAACCACGAGCACTACGTGGATCAAGACGACCGTGAATGAGCACTCAGATCCTTGCCTTTGAAAGGCACCTCTGAAAGGAGATGAACCTCACCAGCATGTTCCACCAAGGGACCTGTGAAGCTCCTCAGCCGGGTGCCAGCAGAGGGCAATACCACACAGGCAAAGTTTTTGTGGTGGGAAGGCATCAAAAATGCAAAGTATTTCTCTTGTTCCACCCCAAAGCGTTAAGTCTTTCCACTTTCGAATTGAGAAAGTGCGCAAGGATTGCAAATAAATTTGAAAACAGGAATGGTCTTAAAGGAATATAATGCTTGTTTATTGGCTTATCGTGTACTTACCTGCTGAACTGGGAATGATCTGAAATGCTCTCCAAGAACCATGGCAGGTTAGTGATATTTTTTTTCCCCAACCCCTGAGAGTAAAGTGCATTACTTTTATTGTGTGGGTGTGTAAAACAGTATAAAAAGGAAGAATGATCTGATCTGTCTGACCCCTTACAGGAGAAAGAAAGCAATTTTAACCCCTTTGGCTGCAGGATTATTTTCTTTTTTATGTTTATTTTTTACATTTTGCCCTGTGTAGATGAAAAACCTGTTTCTCTCAGCAAACAGTACTGGGATCCAAGGCACTCCACCAGCCTAAATGGTCACGACCTGCTCCCCATGGATACCCTGCACACTATTTCCAGTCATACTTGTTCCCCTTCCCCATCTGGTGCAAAAGGGGTGGCAAAGGGTGAGCCATAGACCTGCAGGGACTACAGCACCCAGACTGGCCAGTAACAAGTAGTGGAGGGTCCTTCCCCTTTTGGCAAAAGGGGTGGCAAAGGGTGAGCCAAAGGCCTACAGGGACTACAGCACCCGCTGGTAACAAGTAGTGGAGGGTCCTTCCCCTTTTGCAAAGTTAATTAGCCTACTGATAATTAATTATGAAGGCTAGAAATGGGATAATCAGCTTTTGTACTACTTTCTCAGTCGAGGCAAGGAAGTTGGGAGGTAAAATTAATACATATGCCTAATGTATATCTTTAGGACCAGTGCCATAACAAAACTGTCAGCTGTGACCTTTTATTTTACGTACATGTAATGGATACTTGGAAGGAAGAGTGTCCTCTTGGGAACCATGCAGCTTGTCTACACACAACCATTTTACTGTCTTAATTCTGGTAGTACCACCAGGACAGCACAAACCTGCTGGTAGGAATTAAAGATGCTGACACTTGAGCAACTGGGTCACCCCAGTTACCAGTCTGACCACGTTCACCTTGGGGAGAACAGATACTTGCCATAGTTTAACCTGTCCAAGAACTAAGTGGAAGCCAAGTCACAGAATCCAACGTCCAAGCCCCATCCAGCCTGGCCTTGAACCCCTCCAGGGATGGGGCAGCCACAGCTTCTCTGGGCAACCTGGGCCAGTGTCTCACCACCCTCAGAGTCAAAAATTTCTTCCTAATATCTCATCTAAATCTCCCCTCTTTCAGTTTAAAACTGTTCCCCCTTGTCCTATCACTCCACTCCCTTATCAAGAGCCCCTCCCCATCTCTCCTCTAGCCCCTTTAGGGACTGGAAGGGACTCTAAGGTCCCCCCGGAGCCTTCTCTTCTCCAGGCTGAATACCCCAACTCTTTCAGCCCGTCTTCATAGGAGAGGTGCTCCAGCCCCTTGAGCATCAGCCAAGTCTGGTTCCTCATGATAGATGTGATTTTGCAAATAGGAGTTTCATAGTCTCTGTTTTCTATTATCTCTTCACAAAATCATCTATTTCATTTCTTGACTTGGGTTTCTTTACCAATACTTCTGCACTGCCGTTTTCACAGCCACTCTCACTGCCAAGTTTCAAGCTTCTCTGCTCATGGCAAAGGAAGGGCTAACAGAGGCAAACACGCTCCTCTGGAGGAAAAGCAAAATTTGAAGCATTCAGCAGCACCCACGCCAAAGAAGATCTGTCTCCTTCCTTAGGTCTACAGCCCCAGCTCCTTACATGTAACTTTTTAATCTGTCATCATTAGTTTGATTGTAGAAAAAACACAATACTGGATTTTGGTCAGGTGCTGTATAGAAAAGGCCCTGCACAGCTCCACTTCCACTGCAGACTGCTGTAGAAAAAGGACAAGCTTTGATCATCTTCCCCAAAAAATTTGATGCCAAATACAATAGGCTGCTATGTGAGCAGGGAGAGGAATCCACTTCCACAACAAGAATTTACAAAACCAGCTTTCTTCTCTTGCTTTAGCTTCTGGTAATGTCACCCTGCTGAGATACAGTTTGGTGGGAATCCAAATTGCAAAATGTTTGCTGCTTTTTGGATGGAATATCATTTCTTTATACTCCAAGGCTTTTCTCTTGGAGAAGACACACAAAATCTCCACCCGGCGGGAAGAAATGCTGAATTCACAAGGCTGTTTGTATGTCTGAATTCCAGATCATGGGTTTTTTTTCCTACCGTTACATAAAAATTCCCATAGGAAAACCCAGTTCGAGTCTGAGATCTGAAGAGCAATACATCTATTAATAATTTGGCAGACAATTTGTTGGGCTGCCACTGATGTAACCAGCTAAAGATGTGATCCTCTGTGTGCCCCCGTGAAGGCTCCTGGGGAAGGTAACCGCTGGGAATCAGTTTTAGAAACACTGCCAGGAAAAACGATGTTTTTGTAGATTATTTTTTTTGAGCCTGCCTGTGCTGCAACAGACATCCCATTTCACTTTTCTCCCAATTTACTTCACATTCTTTGTAGATGAGATTACCACATGTTCTCTGGAATCAGAAATGGTTTATTTTCAAGGCTAGTTAGTCTTGTTTACCGAGAATTGTTTTGCCTTGTTTTTTAAACCAGAGCAGCGTGGCAGGTTATCACACCCTTGCATGCTCTTTTTTTTCCCCCTATAACAGAACTCTCTTTCCAAGAATCCAAAAACCTGGAAGAGATGCTTTGTAGACCAGGGCGCAAAAGCAACACTCCTGATTTTTTTTTGCTGGGCATCGGCAGTTTTTGTGCCAAGCACTTATCAGACAGATACTTTGGAAGTCTATCTGTCTAATCAGCCCATTTGGTGTCATTTATACAGAACAAGATTGCACATTTTGCTGGCAAAGTGCTAGTCTTGTCCGAAGTTCTTACAAATAAAATCCTTATATATATTTCTTCTGTATAAATAAATATTTTAAATAGATACATAATATCACTCTAATATAGCTACTGGCAGAAGATGATGTGTTTAATGGCTAGTTAACTCTCATCATAGCATCATAGAATTGTCTAGATTGGAAGGGACCTTTAAGATCTTCTAGTCCAACCATCAACCTAACTCTGATAAAAAACCATCACTAAACCATGTCACTAAGCACTGTGTCAACCCGTGTTTAAATACCTCCAGGGATGGTGCCTCAATCAGCTCAGTATGAACCCAGCAAAACCAGAGAAAACAACATTAAACTTCAGTTTCCAAAACTGGACAAAGGACTATGTTGCCACCCGTTCTGTTGACTGTGCTTCCCTGGCATCTTTCTTGTGTTGGCACTAATGAGCACAAAGCCTCAGAGCGTGACCTTGCTGCACCAGCTCAGTATGAACCCAGCAAAACCAGAGAAAACAACATTAAACTTCAGCCACGTCATCATCTTACTGATAACCCAAAGCAGGAAAGAGGGAGTGGGGTGAAAGGATGGGACCAGCCCTTTTGGCTGCAGTCAACAGCTGGATTGGCTTAAACCCATTGCAAAAACTGTATCCAGTCATCTCACGTGAGCAATAATTGGTTTGATCTTGGCTGGTATTTGTGATTTTAGCACCCTTCCTGTGACAACATGCAGGACTGTCAAATATAGCACTTAAATATATGATAATTATGTTTGTGTGTATGCATATGGAAGAGAAGAGAGGAACAATGTTGTTCTCTGATGAAAAGAGAGAGAAGACAGTGCTGTAATAACACAAGCTAGTGAAAAGGAAGAGAAAGCAAAAGGATAAGGGGGAAATGAAGAAACTAACGAAAAAAATAAAGACAAACTCACAGAGAAGAGGAGATAATACAAAGATGAAAGCCCTGTGGGCAATTAGCCTGGAATTGCTGTGCCAGCCACAGGCAGGGCACATGGCTGAGTCTGGGTCGCAGCTGCAAGCTTTATGCAAGCATAAAACTGTTTTTATGCATCCCTCTGAATAAAAACTTTTGTTTCCTGAACAGGTAACTCTGGGGAAATAGAACTGGTGAACTTCACAGCACCATGAGCTGGACCAGTAATGGGCTGGCACGTACTGAGAGCACAGCAGAGCTGGATGAGCAGGAGGACCCCAGGAGAGGAGGGCTGGACAAGGCAAACGTGAGTATTTTGATTACTTTCAAGCCAATTTAGCAAATAACCACCGTGGACATCTCACAGCACCCCTGCTGCCAACCTATTGCTCATTTCTGATTGCAGGTTTTTGTTTTGGGGCTGTTGGCTCCCCATGAGCCATGGCTGTGATTTACACTCACACTGCAGCGCTCCCCAGCTCTCCCAACAAGTCAGGCAAAGCAACCACTACAGCCACCATCTCCTCCTCTCTTAGCAGGACATCTCCTAACAGGGGTTTTCAGGTAGGGACAACCCAGGGCTGCCTTACAGACTAAACTGTTCAAGACTGCCACCTTCCTCCTGGTAAATTCTTTGGTCAGGGGTACCAGATATTGAAAGATTTAAGTGATGTAGGAGCAAATTTTCAGTCAATGAAGAAAGGAGACGGATTAGAATCATAGAATTGCCTGGAGGCAAACGTGAGTAT